GTCTCCTAAGCTCATTGAAGTTGGCCATTCTGAAGTCAAGGGGTGGAGTGGCATCCATGTTATGAGATGCACATTTTTAAAAATAGACCTCTTATTTTATAAGTCACTTATTCAGTGTTGGAAACTAAGTCACAAAGTAGTAGAAACTGTACAGTTTTACACATACAAAATTGAATCTAATCCTCTGAGATTACAAGGAGATATCAGAAACAAATGCTTTTATGTAATCTAGTTTATTTTAACTGAAGTGTCACTATGGTTGAAGACAAGTGGTTGATATTCAAAATGCCCATTAAAAACAGGACTGTGCACTAAGTGAAGAAAGAACTGCTTATTTATTTCTTAATATTTTCTTTGTACCAAGCTTTAAAGGTGAAGGGGTACATATCATTTTCCTCTAATTAATTCCTGGTAATCGTTCCAAAAGTTCAGAGACAAAAAAAAAGTGTGCAAGTATGTGTGTAGACTAGGGGTAGCCTAGTGCAGTGGGGTAGCGGAGGCAATTGATCCAGTCCAGCCTAGGCCCTGAAGTGACTGCCGAGGGTGCCGGAAGTAGTGGGCAGGCAGAGTCTCCATGGATACCAGCCAGGACCCTGGCAGGCAGGGTGCGCTCAGCCAGGTGGATGGGATGGGGCTGTGGGTAGGGGAGGAGTGGCATCCAAGAACAGGACGGGTGGGTAGGACCAGGATTGCAGGGTGGTGACAACACAGGGCTGGGGCACAGCTGTGATCCACTCCCCGCATGTTCCTGCAACATGTACTGGTCCCATGGACAGGTGTGTATGGGGAGAAGATCATGGCTCTGCTATGTGCCCTGATCCTGTGCTGTTACCACCCAATGATCCAGGCTTGGCCTTGGCCCCACTCATCTGTCCTCCTCCCAGATGCCACCCCCTGCCCATCCATGGCCCTATCCCATGTGCCCGGTTAAGTGCACCCAGCCCACAGGGGCTGGTCTCCATGGTGGCCCCAGCTGCCTGCCTGTCTGCTCCGTCTGGTATCCCTGGGCAGAGGGGATGGGTCCAGTGGTGGCGGAGATACTAGCAGAGTCACCACTGGAGCTGCCACCATCAGAGCTGCTGGAAAGTGGAGTTCAGCTGCTGTGCCGTCCCCACCCCACTGCACATCCAGGGACAGCGAACTGGCTACATGTGCCACGGCCCAGGTTACCCCACCATGCCTGTGCTAGGTGGGGCCAAGGGACCTGCCACAGGCTGGACAGAATTCTTTGGTGGCCTGGATCTGGCCTGTGGGCTATATTTTGCCCACCCTTGGTGTTGACTTTATATATGCAGCTTTGTTAGTGTGCCCGAATTTTTCAATCCGATATTTAAAATTTGTTAATAATAAAACTTGTTGATGCTACTTACCCCTGTAGGCTGAAAAATTAGTCCATCCACTTCATGACTGACTTCCCTAGCAAAACTTCCTTCAAGAAGCTGTAAAACAAAAACAAAAGCCAATCATTTTCCACATACAAAGAAATATTTTACTTTAAATATTCTAGAGTTATGTAAGCTCCATTTCATTTTAGTTAAGAACTGCATTTACTCAAATCCAAGACAAGGTTTATTTTCCAAGTCAACACTAGGAAAAAAGCCCCTCATCTTTAATTGAAGTACAAGATCAGGGGGAGGGAGGAGGTCAGGTGGCTGCTGCAACTAACTCCAGCCCCAATCCAGAGTCAGAGCCAGAGCTCCAGGAGCCATCCGCTCCTCTGTTTCCACTGCTACTGCCTCTGCCCCACTGGCACCTGCCCCCCCAACCCCAATGCTTACTGTCAATCACAGCTCTGGTTTTATTCTGGCATGGAACATGGGGCACACAGCACATGGTACCTCATGTCCCAGACTGGACAGGTAGCAAATGCAGGGTAGCAGCAACTCCAGTACCCTTTGGCTAGAGCCACTGTCGCTGCAACTGCTGTTATGTGGCCAGGTACATGTGCTCCATGCCTCAGGGTAGGATAGGACTTGAGCCACAACTGAGGGTAAGAGTGGGGTGAGGGAGGGACAGAGGTCATGGGGGGCAGAGGCTGCAGTGAGGGGGAGGAGGGGAAAAGGCATTAGGGTGCATAGTCCTAACAGAAACAAGTAGTGGGGGGACAGGGAGTAAAGGGGAAGGGATCAGGTCACCTGTCTCCCAATCTGACCCCTTGCCTTGTTTTCCCTGCAGTATTTGTGGGAGGGAGGGGGCATTTAAGATGACCCTCCAATAATTAGATTCTATGCATGAAAAATTGTAACAAAATTATAAATTATCCACTTATAGACCTAGTTCTTGGGGAGTAATCTTAAATTCAGTCATGTTGGATTCAGGTAAATGCAATAAATTCTTCTTATTATACAGAATTTCATTTAAAGTTGGATATATAATCTGAGAAACATGAGAACAGAAAAAGAAACAGGATCTGATGGAATTTAGATGACAACTTTACTGATAAAATTTGAGGCTAAGACAAAGTAGCAAAGAGGGGAAAATATACAAGTCTAGAAAAAGGAATTTTTGAAAAACATGAACCTATACACTTAAGTTATGGATGGAGTAGAAGTAGTTCAAGGATGGGACAATATATATCTTGTTTCTCCAAAACACCGAGAATAAGTCTACAATTTTAAATAGGCAAATGGTAGTGTTTTTAAAACCTTATATCATATTTGAAAATAAGGCAAAACTTCTAATAATTATATGTAAGGTTCTCACATAGAAGAACCTTTAATATATACATTCCAGCGATGATGCTGAACAGCTTAAAAGCTACCACCCAAATTAACCAAGACACTTAAATTCTGTTATACATTAAGCAGATTGACTTCAATTGGGGTTAACCCTCAAGACGTTTGAGACCTAAGAAAATATTAACGAAACCGAAACAAATCATCAATATTTATATCATGTAACATGAAATTGGGATAAATGATTGAGAGTGATCAGCAGTGAAGTTCAGCACAATTTATGTAGATGGTTACTCGTTAATTTCAACTTTTACTTCTCGCTAATAAAAGAGCATCTCTCAAGCTGTGGGTGCTTTTAAGCAATGTTTGAAATATACATTAACAGATCTGTTACCTCAGTGACAAATACTACAGCAAAAAGAGAGACAGAAAATTTGAACTGGATTTAGGAACATAATTTTTGGTAGAGGTTAAAAATGGCTGGACACATACTCTGCTTACAGACATTAAAAAAAAAAACCCCAAATGGCACTCCCATGCCGAGCCCAGCACATGCCTAGAAGAGGTAGCGCATTAGTTAGACACAGCTCACCCAATGTCTGTGTAGACTGAGTACTTTAGTAGGACTTTTTTTGGCACTCTTATAGCTGATTGAATCAGCTTTAGATGAAAGCGCCAAAAAGCCCTGCTGAAGCACTTGATCTATACAGACACTAGTCGGAGCCTAGTCGAACTAAGACACTGCTTCTTCTGGTAAACTGCTTCTTTTTTTAATGTCTGTAAGCAGCCATAGTGCAAAGTGAAGTTACGATATACATAAATAATCAAAATTCTGGTATAACAAATTAAAATAACATCTAAATTGTAATAGTCTAAAACCTGTGACTAACTATATTTAAGCATTCATTTTTTGTTAGATACACAACAATTTGTTTTAAAGACAAATTTGGTTATTGATGAATTAGAACTGCCTCTATTAAAAAAAAGAATAGCTATTAGATTTCTTTATTTTATTTCAAAACTAATTTTAGAATAATTATACGGAGCAATAAAATAACTTTATTTGCAGTACTATATTACATGCTGAGTCAAAAATGACCCACTGAGATGTTACAGAAAGCCTGCATTTAACATGTGAAAACCTACCACATATTCACCAATTTTAATAAATGTCAAACCCTTTAACTGCACAGTAATCTCATAAGCAACAACTTTTCAAAAATGGAGCTTGATTAGCATACAAACCCCCAATATTTATTCACAATTTTAAAAAATAATTAAAGCACTTGAAATACACTGTTATAAATACAATGTTAATCTTTGTTTCAGTTGACTAATGTAGTATTTTGGAAATGATGTAGACAAATGATGTAAACAAATTCTTAACACAACATTTTTGTTCATCAGCTAAAACTCCTGTGAAGCTATTTAAACATTGAGTAAAATGTCTGAAAATTAAACCAACTTTCAGTCAAAGAGCTTTTGATAAAAGTAGGCATCAGAAAAGTATGTGTAAATTATTTTATTAATTTCCAATAGATAAAACAATTCCTTCCAAAATACTAATATTGTACTGAAACAAAACAACATACTTTAACCAAAATCCTAAATTGTTAGCTAAAAACACAAAAAAGCAAATCAGGAGGCATAAACAAAGAATTTACAAATGGAAACTTAAAAACTTATTTTCCCATACAAGGGAGTTTGAAAAGGAACTTCAATTTGAAGACAGAACTAATTTAAAGAGGGAACAGATATACATCATATGATCTAGTGCTAGCTACAGTAAAAGTTATGGACACAGAGAATGAATCCCTGTCTGCATTCTGAGTAGCAATTCTTTCAGGTTAAACATGAAGCTTTGATGTGTTCCCTTCCCTTCCCTACCTTCCCCCCTCCCCACCCCCCGGGTCTGTTTGACTGCACCAGACTTTGTAAAATATAGTGAAAAAGAAGAGAGAGAGAGAGAAAAAGAGGGGCAGAAGGTAGCACTATCCATTATAAAATAGCAAAACTCTTTTCTTAAAATGCTTGATACCTTCCTTTACCATAATGGTACATAAAAACATTGCTCCTCCAAATTCACTTATCAAACTGGATTACCAGTGCTTACAGCCCAGTTTCAGACTGGGTATTAACTCCGGTAGACCTGAACTTTCATGAACTTTGGAGGAATCCAAAGTTGTACCTTGTACCATCCTATGTTATGCACCTGACTGAAGAACATGTGAAGAGGTTTCAGTAGAACATGCAGAGAGGTTTAATCTCTTCCTAAACACAAGGCAGCTCCTCCAGTAAGTAGTATAGTGACCAGCACTGAGAGCTGCTGCCCATAAAAATTGGCAGGGGGTGCAGGCATAGGTATAGCATCAGAAACAACTTTTATTTATTTTTTTAATAGAATAGATTTCAAGCATCTACTTTTCCCACTTACAAAATGCTGTGGACGCAGTCTTTCACCTTCAAACCCAATACACCTGATGTCTACATTCCTTTGCTAGGCTCTATTGCAGTGATTCTCAAAGGGTGGGCCATAGCACAGTAGTTTGCCACAAGAGTGGCAGAAGTGTGTCACAAAAATGAACCGTCATCCAGCCTGTGGGGCCCCCGTGGTTCCAGAAATTTGGCAGAGGGAGAACAATGGCAATTAGTACTGCCACTGCCAGATTTCTAAGAGGCACACAATGGGATCATGTCCTGGCTGTGCTAGCCCTATGCAGCGGGATCCTGCCTGCAGACTGACCTGGCACCACTCATCTGGCCCATGAGGCCAAAAGATTGGGCATCACTGTGTCTTTAATATATATGTGCACATGTGTAATATATCACACACACATGCATGGAAACATACACATGTACACATCCTTTTTCAGGTATAAGAATGAAGTGTGCCACCATTTTAATCCAATGCCTTAAGTATCAAAGGGTTGAGAAACACTGCCCTAACTGACAAATGATGACTATTATAGCTCACACGTGAAGGGTGCGTAGAGTGGTATTCCAGTAAGAGACGCTTCTCTTATGTGACAAGGTGAATAAGCCTACCTTTGTAATATATCCTTGTGATCTTAAGGCATCAGATTCAACTTTGTATGAACAAAATAGAGTTTACCTTTTCCATTAATCTTGCAGTCACTTGGGACAATACTACCAACATTCTTCTTCTTTCAATCATGCCTGTATTCTGTGAACTATGTTCTAGTCATGCCTCCATATAGACCATCACATCCAAGCTTATAAACAAGAATTGATATTTTCTTGTTGTCCACATAGCTAAAATTCTCATCCAGGCTTTAATCTCAAATCTCAACTATTGTAACTTCCTCTTCTCCTTTACAACTTCAAAAAAACCCATCTTATAATATTTATATCCATTCAAAAAGCTGCTGCTGCAGAAAAGAATTTAACTTGCCATTTCAATCACATCTTCACCCTTTTTGCCTACTCAGCAGGCTCCAACATAGCAAACGCGAACACTTTGAACCACCTTCATGGTCTGTGCCTACCTTACCTATCATATGCTGCCAAGATATTGACTTTTACCTCTGCTCTGCAAATAAAGCTTGTCTTGACCACCAAACTAACACTTTTATATTTTCTCTCATGCCATCCCTTATGCACAGGAAGAGATCCTGTAAACATCTATAAAGTTACCTTGTTGCCTCCCATTGCTTAAAACTCACCTCCCCATTTCTGATCACCACACCCCCAAAACTGAACAACTGGCAAAAGACAATGTGTGACCACTGCTGATCTTGACCTGC